GGGTGCGGACCCATCTTTGGCGGCGGGGCCAAATGGCGGCGATCGCCCCACGCTTCCCCCTGGCAGACCTGAGGCTCTGGCTGACATGACGTCGCGCGAAGGCTACGATCCGGACAATCGTGACCCGCCCGGGGGCCTTCGAGAATCGGAGGACATCCTCAATGCGTGGGACGACACACGACCTTCAGCCGCACCGGAGATTGCAGCACGTGAAGGCTTTGATCCGGAGAACCCGGATCCTCCAGAAGGGCTTCGCGACTCGAGAGACGTTCTGTCAGCTTGGCTTGATGACTCCGCCGCCCCTACGCCCTCCTCTCAGCCGCCGGCAGACGCCCGCCGGCGCTCAGCAAGGAGCAGAGGTTTTGGCAGATGTATGATATGTACGGCTTTCTGTGGCGGTCAATGCTTCCGTCAGCGGGAGGTGGGGCAACACAGGGGGAGAGGCCGTCGGGCCCGTGAGTTGCGACGACAGCAGACTGCGCCCAACCCTCCCCCGCCGCCCTCCGCTTCGAAGCCGGAAGGAGGCTCTCAACCGCCTCCTCCATCACCCCCACCTCCACCGACACCACCACCACCCCCACCCCCACCCCCTCCGCCTCCCCCGCCACCGCCACCGCCTTCGATCAACCGAGACACGGTCAACCCGGCTCTAGACACCCGAGACATGCCCTTAAATGACCGTGATACGACGGGGCGAGGCGGGGATGGTGAAGGTGGTGCTTCGCAGCCCGTACCGCCGCCGCGCCGAGCTCGGGGGAGAGGTCGCGGTAGAGGAACGCGTGGAGACCAAGTGGGGCTCCGCGGTGCTCGAGGTGGAGGCGGATTCGCACCCCCGCCGCCGCCCGGCCCGCCACCCGGCCCGCCACCCGGCCCGCCACCCGGTGACCCGGGGGATGGCGGAGCAGGAGATGGTGACTCGGGCGGCAATGGGCCGCCCCCAAACGGCGGAGGACCTCCACCTCCCTCAGGTCCACCACCAGACCCGCCCCACGACTCCCACTGGTTTCGCTCGAGAGGCATTTTCCCGCAGCGTGGGCTTGATTATCTCCGCAGCCTCACCGCCGAGCAACGGGATGATCACTTCAAGCTGGGCGTTCGCACCATATGCCGCATACCTGGGTGTGTCCGGGAATCGCTAAGGATGGTGGTGGACACTACCGAGAAGTACGTGAAGGACGAAGAGGACTCGGATGTCGGCTGCCTGATAGCCATTTTCGTGCCGACTATGCTGCTCTTCCCGATGAATCGCGGCGGAGACGGCGGCCACCGCAAATGGCGTGCTCGCTTCAAGCGGTTCTGGGCTGGAGAGTGGCAAGGATTGCTCGACGAGTCTAGGAATTTTGCTGAACAGGGTCGCCACGTATTCACTCCACGCGGCGATGGACCGGTGCCATCCCTGGAGGAAATCAAGCTGCGAGCGGCAGAGAGATTTGTGAGACAGGGAGAGCTGTCGCGTGCGGCGAGGCGGCTGACGGCCGCCAAGGT